TAAAAGTTCTTTGTTAAGGAAACTTGAAGATAAACGTAAACTTAGTCTTACATTTGATGAGAAAACTACAGCAAAAAAAAGAAGATTTATAAATGTAAATATACATTATAATGAATGATTTTAATTGCTTGGAATGATTAGAATTCCAGGTACACAACAAAGCAGCAAAAAAACTATTAAATTGATCAGCAATAAGCTTAATTCATTCAATTTAAACTTGGACAAAGACTTTGTTGATGTACTTTGTTCTGATAATAACCTTGTTGATGGTGATATGGAAGCTGTAGATTATGATCAGGGTTACAGTGATGATAAAAATGGAACTGAAGTTGGTAATGATATTCAAACTGTTCATGAAGTTGGTGATGATATTCAAACTTTTCAAAAGATTCTATTCCATTATTGAAACTTGAATAACTAGAAACTGTGCAAAAAAAAAAAGAAAATTTGTTAAAAAATTTCTTAGATCGCTAGTGAGCAATGATGATGAACTTCAACCCAATATAATTAAAAAATATGGAAAAGAAAAAGCTTTGATTTGTGATTCAAGGAAAACATAGCGCAGGACTATTGATAGGCTTAAACGTGTTTTGGAGGTGCAAACAGAGATAAAAATAACTCTGATCGGTATGAATACTAATTTTCTTCTAACTAAAATTGAGCTATGTCATAAAGCAATTAATTCAGCCATCTAACAATAGCTCTGATGATGACAAGGAAGTAAATAGTATAACTGATAGTATAACTGATTACATAAAAAGTATTAAAAAAAAACTGAACTTATCTCAACAACTCATCCTTTTTATTAAACAATCAGACACTGAAATGAAACTTGACCATCAGGAAATTAAAACAAAGCTCGTTAAAAAAAAAAGGCTGTTCTTGAATCTAGCAAAGTTAGGCTGAAGCGTTCGGAATTACTTTTCAAAGCTCCTCACACAATTCCTTCTACATCCGTAGAAGTTGAGAGAGCTTTTTCTAGTCATGGACGTTTTGTTACTAAAAGTTCTTTAAACCACAAAAATTTATGTGCACTAACCTTTTTAAAGCAAACTATGAAGAATACTCATTGATGTTATTTACTTTTGTCCTATTTAATGATAATAAAGAAATAAATACTTTTACGTATAATTTGTATTACTTTTGTCTGAATTAACATTTCTAGAATAAAGTTCCAAATAGTTCGAACTTTTTTTCCGTAATTGTTCCAAAATAATTTACTTTTTTTTTGAAAACCAAAAGTTTTTTTTAAGAATATAAACAAATCTTTTTTAAAGTACAAGTGGCGGCTGCGACATTCTACTGAGTATAAACAATAAAATATAAATATAAATAAAATGAAACAGCCCAAACGTGCATAAATACCATTAAATAACAATATAATTGAGAAAATAAACCTATTCATATTCGTTGGTTTTAGAAGTATTGTATTGTTAAATATTTTGAGTCCAATTTTTATATTTGACCTTCAATACTGCTCAAAGTTACTTCATTGCTTTTTTTCGGTGTTATTATTTTCATAGGAGATATTTTTTCAATATAAGTACCTTAGGTTTCTTTTACCCTAGTCTTTTAAGTCATTTTTAATTTTTCATTTTTTTTCTAAAGTATTTTCCTAATATGGATATGCCGAGAAGTTGGTTACGTAGTTTAGTAATATCTAATGTACTCTTAGCTACTGTAGTTTTATTATCAGAATTTGTAGTATTCAGTTCAGAAATATCATTAATTATTTTTTAATAGAATTTTATTGATAGCAAGAAGAACCTAATTTTTTACGTCATCTAAGAGGGATTTAATATTTGCCATTAATAGTTCAGACATATTTGGTTTGTTGAAAAGGAATTAGTTAGAAGAAGTATACTTAGATAACATTTATAATTTGATAATTCGATTACTTGATTAGATAGATTTAACCACAATTAAGTAGGAAATGCGCCGTTTGTTGATAAATAAAATTCAGGTCATCTTTACCTCGAAACTGCCTAACACGAAGAAGTGGCAGAACTAAGAATAATAACAACTCCAGAGTGTATTCCAGTATTAGATTAAGTGATCTAAGAGTAACATTAATGGACTAAAGGATAATAATAAATGATAAAATTAATTGATAAAATTTAAGTATAACATTCAAGGATAACATTCAAGGATAACATTAAAGGATAACATTAAAGGATAACATTAAAGGATAACATTAAAGAATAACATTAAAGAATAACATTAAAGGATAGCATTAAAGGATAACATTAAAGAATAACATTAAAGAATAACATTAAAGAATAACATTAAAGGATAAAATTAAAGGGTAACATTAAAGGTTAATATTCATGGAGCCAAAGATAACAACAGCTTCAGAGTGTATTCTAGTATTGAATGCCGTAGTGTCACTGGACACTACGGCATTGTCTATGTCATTCAAATCAGGAGATATTACACTGACTTCTATTCTTTCTACAAAAACAGTAATCTATTGATCTACTTCAATCTATTTCACCCTATTTCCATCAAAATGAACTCGTTGCTTTTTTTTCCTTTAGAGATATTATAGTTTCTTGCCTAAGCTTAAGTACTAATATCTAAATTTTTCTGAATCTCTTTCTTTAAACTGCAATTGTTGAATAATTAATATTTTCTAGATTCTCACCAGCTTTATTGCAAATAGCAGCTACTAAAGAAGATTTTGGACGTATACCTAATCTGAATCGGGCAGAAACTGCAGCAGTACAGTTAACCAGATCTTCGGCACTTATACTTATTTTAATCTTAGATTTAATAGAATGACTGAATCTATTAGATAAATTTTCATCATCCAAAGAATCTAAACTAAGTTTAGATTTAGAATCATTTCCAAATGAACATATAGAAACATCAAGATCATTTGTTTTTACTGCATTCATTGTAATTCTACCTTTATCTCTAGCCTCCTCCATCCTCTTGAGCCGAACATTTTTTTTAACTCAATTTTGTAATACTAAGTTTTGTAATACATTTAGTTCTTCTGTAATACAAATGCATCGCTTTACTTTTTCATATAGATAAAACTGATTATTCTCTTCTTCGGCATTCTCAGAACGAAAACAATCTTAATTCACTATCTGTTCAAAATTTGCCAATGAATTTTCAAAGAATGTAGTACTTACTTCTAAAAAACTTATTCTGTATTTTAGAGAAGTTTCCATCACTGAAGTTCCAGTTTAATTAATAAAGATGATGCAGATTTATGTACTTATTATGGAGATTCAGTATCTTATCCCTAAATTTAGATCCACTGTTGATAAAATCTTGAGACCCCGCTTTCTTCCAAGAGTCTATAACTACCGAGGCAACACATCTTTGTTCAGAATTATTGCAGAAGCCTATACCCTCGGATGCATTAGATCTGTTCTCATGCTTTTCAGAGCAGGCTACTATCAATTTAATAGATTTAATTCTTATTGATTTAAACTAAAAATAAAGTATTTATCATTATGGCTTATTTGTTCTTACATAGCTTTTTGCATTAATGCGTCTTATTTTTAAAATATATGTTGTAAAAGGTAGGGGCGGGAGGGGAAGGTAGGGAAAAGGAATGGGATGATATTGAATTAAATATGTATTGCATAAAATAGACCATTTTAAAATTTTATCATTATTTTATAGTATATTTACATTAAAAAAAAAATAATAATAATTAAAAAACGGTATTTATCAGAGAATATTTACGATGGTTGGCAGAAGGTTTATCGGAAGCTCATCAAATGCATACTTCGAAGAAACAGCAACCTTTTTTGGATTCGTTGACACTCTTTCCTTTTTTTTCTCACCCACTTTTTTTTTTTTTTAAGTAAACCCATTTTCGTTAATAATTTTTTATTAGTTTATGGTAAATCAAATTTAAAAAAATAAATTTTTATTTTTCCATAATAGAATTACATTTTATCATACAATTTTCAGGTAAAGTTACGTACATCTATGTATATCTACGCATATCTAAGTACGTCTATGTATACCTACGTATGTATATCTTAAATATATGTATATTGAAGGCTTACATAAATATTACATAATTATATATGAAAAAATTCGTTACTATAAAATTAAATAAACTGTTTCTTATTTTTACTAAACGCACTTAAAATCATATAAAAACCAAAGAAAACAAAACAGTATACAGGGAACATTAAGGTTGCTTAACTAGTTATTATTATCTAACCCCTCTGTAAAATAAGCTTTAATTAACCTTCGCTACCAAACAGGCTAGTTGAACTATTTTTTATAAAGTCTAAAAACATTGGCTTTCCAAATCCTGTAGCGCAAGGGTCATTACAATTGCAAAATTGTTAGGTTTGCATATAAAATATAATAAAAAAATTTTAAATTTAATTCAAAAAAAATATTTTAAAACAAAAACTTAAATTTAAAAAAAAAGCTAAAATTGACCACAGAAAAAGGTTTTAGCCATACATCTGAACTTAGTAGATTTGAAAACATATATGTAAAAATATTGCGTGCAAAAATATTTTTTCATTTGGGACTAACATTCATATATATATATATATATATATATATATATATATATATATATATATATATATATATATATATATATATATATATATATATATATATATATATATATATATATATATATATATATATATATATATATATATATATATATATATATATATATATATATGAATGTTATATATATATATATATATATATATATATATGAATGTTATGTGATATATATATATATATATATATATATATGAATGTTATATATATATATATATATATATATATATATATATATATATATATATATATATATATATATATATATATATATTTATATATATATATATATATATATATATATATATATATATATATATATATATATATATATATATATATATATATATATATATATATATATATATATATATATATATATATATATATATATATATATTACATGCCACATTACTTTGTTTCTCACAACGAGATAATACCTTTTTCTCATTTCTTCTGAACATGACAAACAGAGTCGATGACCACACTTTGTTAAAATAGGTTCACGAAGAGCCAATTTACATATAGGGCACTCATGATCGTCTGAAAGTTCTTGTAAAAAATTTACATCGAATCCACCAAACTTCTCTGCATCCAAACTTTCCATTTATATTTTCTTTGCTTCTATAAAAATGTACGTAGTTATCCTTTGCAACAAGTTTCTAATAGCTTATTTAAACTTTTATAGTTTTTTAAAATAAAAACAAAAATTTGTTTTTTCAAATTGTTTTTCTAAAAACAAAATTTATTCTTAAACTATTTAACTTATTTATCTACGATATCGACTTAGCAATCCTACACTTTATTGAATTTAGTTTTTTTTAAAATTAATCCATTATTTGTCATTACGTATTACAAATTAAATCAGAAAAGGCATTTATAAAACAATAAGTTTTAAACTAACTAATAAAACGTTTTTATGCAGTATGAGCAGCTAAGTATTATGAGCATTCTATAAAATTTCTACAGTGTGAGAAGTAAAGTTCAAGTTGCTTCGTATTATTATTTGAATTGATTTTTGCTATTATTTGAATTGATTGTGCTAATAATAGAAAGCTTTCTCAAAGAAGTCTTTATAAAGGAATTTTAATTTAGAGGACCTGGTTATAATTAAATATGGATTACCAAATAGTAAGCTGAAACTGCTGCGCGCAAATGTGTCAAAACTAAACATGATAAAGTTATAAACAACTATGATTTACATTCTGACAACCTGCTGTGTCCTGAAAAAATGGTCTTTAAAATCTACCTGTCGGAATATTAACAAAAACGTCTCGAGAAGCTTAACACAAAATTTAGCGAATAAAAAAAGCTTAGTACAAATAAAAGAAATAAAGAAAAATACATTGTGCATTGATGCAACCCTATGTTTTTGCAAAAAAGATAAATGACACCATACATCCAGGTAAATACCTTGTGTAAAATCTTTGCTGACAATATAAAACTAAGAGCTGTTATCAAAGACACCTCTGACTATCAACTTATCCTTGAGGGCATTGATCGCCTAGTTAATTGGGGCCACACATGGAGCATGAGTTTTAACGAGGGCACGTGGAAAGCTATGTTCTTTGACAAGAGAGTTAGCAACCGCAAATATACATTTATTGATAATTTGCCTGGCTCGCACTTAATGTTTACATAGCTTATCGCATCGGTAATTGCCACAGACCACCTCCGAAAGCGACCTTGATTTTGACCAACTTAAGTGACAAGACAAAGTCGCACACGTTATAGCCAGAGCCAACATGGCACTAGACATGTTAAAAAGAATATTTTACTATTTGTAAACTAATAGCATTTGTGTACTTTATACAACTTATGTACGACCACATCTCAAATTTTGCTCTGCCACCTGGAACCCCTAATATTGCGGAGACGATGATGCCTTCAAATCACCGCGAGAAAGAGCCACTACCCAGTCAAGACAATATCAATGTGATATCAAAATGATATCAAAAATTTCTAAAGCTATAATATCAAATAATGATCTCATTATGATTCTATAGAGTGAACTTAATTTATTATGGAATTTTACTTGTTAGTTATAATGCGCAGTAAAAATTAACTTTTTCTGTTTTATTGTGCAAATAGCATTTTTTCAATTTTAGGAAATCATATTTTGATACCATAATGATATCAAAAATTTATCATACTGCAATATAAAAGATGTATATATACAGGAGCAGATCAAGGACTTTATATATGTGTAGCTAAAATATGTAAAATTATGTCATATTTGCAACTGCCTAATAAGTTTGCTAATCTACGTCAAAATGACATCCAATAAGTACTTCAAAATGACGTCCAAAATATAGTGCTCCAAGTGAAAATAATAAAAATGTTAGAGCAAAACAGTAATTGTAAATATAAAAATTATTAATCATTATCACTCAACCATAGCCAACTATTTTAGGCTTAAATAGCAACTCTACACATCTCTCTCGTGATGCTGAAAACATTCTTATAATCCTGCCTAAATCTGAAACAATTTATGTATAAAGTGACATAAAGGCAAGGCCACTCAACCACTGTTTAAAAACTCTACTTCTTGAATAGATTTTTAATCTCTAAGTATTATAGCTAAAAAAAAATTCTTAAAAGTTAAGGGATATTGGGGAAACCAGTCATTGTCATCACTTTTGTTTAAGAAATACTAAATAGGGATTTTAATTTATTTTTCCAAAGAAGCACCAATACCAAATCTGCATAAAATAGAGGTTGGAGGCAAAGATAAGAATGATAAACATCGAGAAGTTTATGAAAGTAGGTTTGCTAATCTTAGTTACCTTTTAGGCAATTTAACATGGCGGTTAGATCTGCAAACGTCCCATATAAACCAAGATGCGTTCTGTTTGAAATTTTTTATAATTAATAAGATTAAGATTATTACCAAGTTTAATTTCTTGAAGCATGTTATTTTAATAGTCAATTTCAAGACTCCGAAATTCGAGATACAGTGTAGAGATGAGCATATTGGGACAGCGGGGCATAACAGGACAGTTATGCCTGAAGCAATATATCTCAGCTAATAATAATCTTTTTCAAAAACTTTTATTGATAAATTATTTATAATTCAATTATTGCGCTTCATAATTGAAATAAAAATTTCATTTCAGAAATATCAAAATTTATTAAAAGTTCCAAAATGCATCAGTAAGTTTGCGAAAAACATAATTTGCGTATTTTTTTAAGGAAAAGAATTTATCTTGAACTCTTGCAAATTTGCTTTATCTATAAAAAGTTTATGTTTTTCAGACAGTTTATTTTATCCTCTTTTAGAATTTGGTTTGAAAAAAAAATGCAATTGAATTTTTTGAGTAGTATTATTTTCAGTATAATGACTTTTGTGGGGCAAATCGGGACAACGAAAGTATTTATTTAATTAAGTATATTACTACCATTTCGCAATGCTGCTTGCAGTTTGATGATTTTATTTTTAATCTTAAATATTGTATTTTTATTTGGAAAATCAATTTAGAAATAATTTCAAAAATGTTTCTAATTTTATAACTTAACTTTGATTAATAATAGTGTTTAATGTAAACAAAGAAGGTAAGAAACTATTTTAGAAAAATTAATCATCCAAAACGGGATGAAATTCAGTTTTACTGT